GCACTACAAAGAAAATGGTCCTACGCTGCGCGTCTCTCAAGAAGGTCCCCTCAAGACTCCTGGGCTCGAGTGGCAACTGACTGGATACCACAAGGAAAAAGAGGTCTCGGACGTCCCAGAACAAGATGGCTGGACGACTTCGCTCGTTATACTGGAGCAAGGACCAGAGACATGACTAGAAGATGGACGACATTATTCACCGCTGCCGGTTCCTCGAGAATCTTCGCACAAATGATCAAAAACACTCTATTTGTGTCTGTGCGATAAAGAATAAAGTATAAGTATAAGTATAAGTATAAGTAAAATCATATAAACAATGGAGAATAATAACAACCAGCTTTAGTATCGATCTACAAACATTTCTCTTTCTCATAGCACTTGATATATTCTGTTGGGGCATTCGCTTGCTACACTTCTTCAAACTAAAAGTGTGAAATTTTCTCAAAACTTTCCGGACAACTTAATACAATTAAACATCAATCCAAAGGCCTATCACATTAGTGTATTAATTTTACAAATTTTAGTCGAAGATGGTCTTAACTTACCCATTTCGTGCACCATGATTGGCTGAAGGTGAATCCTGGCCACCAGAACAATCCCATGTTTATGATATCACCTTGCTTGAAAAATAGTTTGAAATGATCTTTTGCTCCTCGTTCGAAGTCGTCCCTGAGCGAGGGCGATTGTGAAAGTGACAAACAGTAATGATGGGCGGCTGCGTCTCACCTGCCTGGATTGTCCAGATTGAATGTTTCGTAGTCGTGAGCTGACTCGTAATAAACCTGTATTTTTATAACTAACAGAGTTGAAATCGGCTGGACCCACATTCACTGTATAAACAATAGTGCGAAATGAACTGGGCGCGGTGACGTCGAAGCGCCCATTTTCCACGAGCAAAAGGCTAACATTCCCAAATATTCTTACCTTAAGGTAAACGGATGCATCGGTGCCAGATCCTGGTTCATCGCAAGTCGCGATCACCACGTCCCACACGCGGCCGTCTTCTGAAAACCAGCTACAGAGATCCTATTTTTTCGTCAAGTGCTCTTGTCCACTAGGATTCCAAACGAATTCGTGCGCCAAGATCCAGTGATGTAAGTTTACTAGTAAGCTCTAAGAATGAGGAAAAGCTTCCGCAGTTGATCAATCCTTTTGGGATGGGGCAGTCATTCAGCTTGCATTCAGAATGGTAGGAGCTCTTTAGATGCAACATGCCCAGAGATGTAATTTAGAGCTTCCCATGCTTGCTCTCATCACTGTTGCATTCGTCTCTCTTCGTGTGGACCAGCACCGCTTTCACAGCCGCACCTCCTGCTACCCTATAATAAGAACTTGGTGCAGTTTTGTTTCCGTTCCACAGTTTCGATTTGGTGGTCTGGGACAGAGGTGGGCTTGATTTGCCCTGCCGCTAACCAGTTCGGCATTTGACCCCCTAACTGCGCACCTATGAGAAACATTCAAAAACCATTCATGAAAATGTGAGGGGAATAGCAGTATCAAAATGTGCCGAAGAGAAGTTCTAGGAATAATCAAAAAACTACTAAAAAAGTAAAAAGAAAGAAAAAAGTGAAATTTGAAAAATTCTGGGTGATGCTCCTACAGGCCCCTGGTGATTGTATTTGTTAGAGTTCGACCGTTTTCCTTAATATCTTTTCACAAAATTTCCCTCCTCTTGGAGGAAGCGATCCTTTGAAGAAATTATATGCAATCGTACAGTACCGACGAAGTAGCAAAAAGTCTTTGTCCAAAGTCACGATCCTTTTATTCGTTTTCCATACCAGTTTAGCAGTACTGTGCGCCTAACGTGATAAAACAATGCGAAGCGATTTACTTCAGTGAAGTACGATTGATGCGGGTTTCTGTTTATTGATAATCGTAGAAAATCAAAGGATAAGAGAGAGTGGGAGCTATCAACCGCAACAGAGCGAATGTCCGGTGCTCACCATCGCATACAGCAAGCGGGAGCTCCTATAGAACTTACCCCCGACAGCTTATCCTCTCAGTGCACCATTGACCTCGACGACCTCTCACAGTCCTACAATTTTA